TGCCGTAACGGGTGTGCGTGTAATCCCAGGCCGACGTCAACACACAGTTCTTGTTGCGGCCGACGGTCGCCGTGACGGGAGTGGTGTCCAGTATTTTGGGATCACTGATCTTGTGTTTGCCGCCGAAGAAGCCACCTGGGTGCAACATCACCACAAAGTACGTGATGGTTACCGACGTGTTGAGCCGAAGACTCCATTTGTGGTTACTGTCCACCGCAAAGGTGGCGCACTCTCCTTTGTCCGCATCCCGTCTATTAACGGCAATTCAAATGACAATCATTAAGACATTTTACAATAAGTTTGTTAAGAAATGGCTTTGGAAATACCTGTAAGCGAAGTGCTCTTCCCAATCGGATGTGGAGTTACTTTCGGTCACCATATGACTAGTCGTCCACCGATTGCTTTTGTCCATATCGTACACGTATACAGAGGTTAGCCGTATTAGGTTTCCCCAATTGACCGCTTTATTGTTATTATAGTTAATAATATTATTGTTTGGGTTAACAACTAATAGTGATCAATTATCACTACACAGTATTATCACTGGTAGACTAAAACTGACCGCATTTGCCGAGTGCACCCGTCCACTGGCCCTCAACGCATGTCCTCTTCCCGACATCACCGGAAACCCAGCGATAGGCTGACTCGCATTGATAGTTGATGACAGTTCCGTTTTCATACCATCGCCTTAAATCCGATTGTCCGCCAAACATACGATAACTCCCAGATGTGGTCGGTTTGGCAAACAATGGCATCGCCGGTAAACCACAGGCCAGTGCTGTGCTATTGGCCTCAGTCAGCAGTTTATTAAACCTATACATATAAATGCACAGTATTTTCATTTAAACTATTGTTAAATAGCAAGGACAATTTATTTGAAATGTCTACGAATTCAACATAAACTTAATTTAACCCACGATTGAAATGTAGTCATGTGTTTGTCTGCATTCTCAGTGTCTTTAATGTCCTTAAAAGAGTCGGCGTTCAGCTCAGAGTCGCGAATACATTTGGGATCGACTCCCGACCACTTGCTATCTGTACCGCAAACTCGCACCGAATCGCCGATCATTATAGTGTTGTTCCGATCGCCCAAACATTTGTAGTAAATAACACTTCCCACTAAAGCGCTGATATTGGCATTAAATGTATATAAATGCTCGGGTTTTATGCCCACAACCATCGACTCGTCGACCGACGGCGGGTACGGACACTGAGCTTTCGGTTTACAAACCGGGAACGGATCCAACCTAAGAGATAAGACACACATTTATGTAAACGCCAACAACAATAGCCCTATAGGTGACGAACCAATTATTGTTTAGACCACATCTGACATCTTCGGGACCGTCGAGTTGAAAGCCTTCATCGCATTTATATCTATAATACGAATTACCCGTATATTTGTTGCCACTCTTTATAAACTCCATGCTTGAGAAGAGGACAATGTCTGCGGAACCGCAGCGATGGAAAGGCATAAACGAGTTGGTGTAGAGTCTGATCTCGCAGATACTGATATCGTTCACATCGAACTCAATGGTAATCATCTGAGTCTTGTCCCTCTCCCAGGCCTNTAATCATCTGAGTCTTGTCCCTCTCCCAGGCCTCGTACTTGGAGTCGCCGTCAAACTCCATAACACACGTCAAACCCAACCGTATTGTCGTATCCGTTGTTTCAATCACTTTTGGCACACATTCTCGCAAATCATTTACCTATCGATCGGACAATTTATGTAAGAAATTATTTTTTTGAAATCAATTGAAACGTTGTTTTTGAAGTTTACTTTTGAATATTTAATGATATTTCTGGCGTCGCTTTTCATGAGTCGTCCGGATTTGTCCAAAACGACTACTTCTAAGTAAGAGATGTGTCGTTTGACTTTCCGGAGATGCAGTTTCCACGAGTGAGGTCTTGACATCTTGTTTGATCGCAAACACGTGTCCCGCTTATAGTCCACATTATAGGCGGCCGTCGTGTCCTTATTAGACCATCGGTTCCGGTATTCCAACGAATGATTCTTACGATCCGCCAAATCTATTACACTAATCGTCCCGTAATGTAATTCTTCCACTTTTATAATAAATTTTAATTTCATAATTAAGTTAATTAGTGAATAGTTAAATAAATGGTTGGCTATATTTTACCGCATCGGGGCAAATCACCCACCCATTGACTGTTATGACACTTCCGGCTTGAATTTCCCAATAATTTCAATTCCGACAATTGACAGGTATATTCAACACTATCACCATCATAATATAGATGCTGTACTTTATCTATTTGAGCTGATTTTGCCAAATTTAACCATATTGATTGTTAAGTTTAAATTTACTATTTAGTAATTGATATAATTTATACCATTATAGGGAATGGCGGGTAAACCACAATCGCTTAACACATATCCAGTCTTGACGGCAATAATAAAAATAATTAATTTAATTAAATGGCAATATTTTGAATTCATATCACTATTTGATTAAATTATGATTTTCTATAAAAAGCTACCATAAAATAGACTACAGAATTCTGTATTACATTTTCACTCATAAAACTATTTGCTTCAATAAAATGGTAATATTTACCGAAAGAAGATCTGAATAAATAGACAATTATTTGTGCTTTAAATGTATCGCTGATAATGACATCAATTGTTAGTGTCATTGAATAACTGGTACTCGAGTTTTGTATAGAAATTCCTCATATAATACACAATAAGAGTATTGAATAAACAAATCAAAAATTGAAATTCAATTTATTTCA